CTGCTCTTAAAAGAACATGACTGAATAAGTTACAATTAATGTTACTGTGTTGACCAGGAGGATAAAATGGAGAAGAACATGTTGTTGGTGTGGCAGTGAAAACAAAGCAAATTGAAGTTTTGAAAAATAAGGAATAAATAAATTCGGCATGTGGATAAATAAACGAAATAATGAATTTCCAATTTGAGCGCTCTTTTCACAATAATCAAATGAACACTCTTTATCTAACTACATTTAGATTTTTCTGGGACAGCTGGATTGTTGGCTTAAGACATCGAAAGCAATTTTACTTGTGAAAATTTTCATCAGTTTCCTCCAGATGTAAGAGGATCTCCTCGGCGCACTCTAGGGAGGGAGCACCCGTGATTTTCTCCTTCACGCTCTGGAACAACTGCCTCAGCATCGCCTGCAGCATCTCCTGGTCCTCGCCGGAGAAACGGGCCATCCTGTTAAAATCAAACGCCCCCGCCAATTACTCCGGGTCCCAGCAAACGCTGCGCACTGCGCACGCGCATCCCCACTCAGCCCCAGCCGGCGCGCAGCGCCGTTCCCCTGGAGACCGCAGCAAGCGCTTTGGGGTGAGCGGAGCGCTTTGGGGTGGGCCCTCCGTTGCCCGCGCGTTTGGGAAATCGGCACCTTACTTTTGGGGGGAGCAGGGGTCCACGAAGCCCCGCCTTTGGTACTCGTAGTTGGCCTTCAGTACCAACAGAATACAAGGTGCTCGGCAAGTAACTGCAAAAACACACCCTTGTGGGTGGGCCTGACGTCGGGACGTCAGCTCTACGCGTGACGTTAGCTCGTTAGCGTTGCTTCCTAGTAAGCTTTAAATCATGCGTTGAGTACCACGATGAAATCCCTCGCCTTCCTGCTCCATTTCTCCCCAGACGTGACTCATCCCTTTGTCCAGCATGTCCACTCTAAGACAAAGCCCATTAATCACTTGGTAACAGCTTCAATTCGCAGTGCTTGGAGTTCAAGTAAACCTTACTTTACCTCATAATGGCCCCAAAGCACAAGAGTAGTGATGCTGGCAATTCGGATATGCCAAAGGGAAGCTGTAAAGTGCTTCCTTTAAGTGAAAAGGTTATGTATGTATGTATAGGAAAAAACATAGTACATATAGGGCTTGGTAGTATCCTAGGTTCCAGAACTCAGTGGGGGTTGTGGAATGAATGTATCCCCCTTGAATAAGGAGAGACCACTATAACACAGTTCTCACTGAAATGAAGTAAATCCACCTAGCTATATTTTAGAACCACCTAGAGAGCTTTCCAAAAACACCAAGGCCCAGCCTCTACCAAGCCTCCTCTGCCAAGCCCCCAGGCAATTCATTTATGGCAAGGCCCATCATCAGTAAGGGCCTCCAACTGATTCTAGTGTAGCCAGATTAAACCCAGGGCTGTTT